CAAACCTGTACTTGCGGACACCTGAGAAAAACAGACACCTGTAAAGTGAGGATATCCAATACGGATACCGTAATTATGGTGAAGGATACGGATGCAACTGAGGACACCTGCAAATTGAGGACATTAGACCTCTGTCCCTTGCGTGTCCGTATGATTGTCCGGTTCGACTGTGGTTTTATGACTCCCTGTCTGTAGCTCCCTGATACAGAGTCACAGTCGCTACTACTACTGCTAGTGGTGTTGTGGGTTGGCAAGTGACTTTTTAATATTAGCTGATTGGCATGGCATATATTACAGTTTTGTTGTTTTATTTTATTTTTTATTGAACAGGCGGCAAGGTGACAACAATTTTAAGATGGCAATGAACAGAATCAGCTGAAGCGACATGTTACGACGGTTTTATTGAAATGTAAAGTGGTGATGGACACAGCAATAACTGTGATGGAAATGTAATGTGAAAAACAATAATAGGAACGATGAAAAATATAAACATGCATCGAACTAGCTTTCGCACAACGCTCATCAGGAAGCATCGTTGTACTAATTAACAAAATTGCAACAGTACAGATTACAATAAAGGATCCATAGTGTTACGGAATCTCAGCCATTCCGTTCCCCGAGACGCAGGACACAAAGGACAAGACTAGTTTGGTTTACATAATTTATATTGACATTACGGAAATGAAGACTATACTCAAGGAGACGAACAAGAAGACTGACAAAAGGACTCTCGACTACAAAATCGCACATGCTCATATCACACATGCACGCGACTAGACGAGACAGTTTGGGGAATGCCATCACACAGGAAAACAACACATCATTTCATAACACCTGCCCCCTTGATGACATTCCACAAAATAATAAACCGACACCACGTTCCATATGCACAACAGCAAAAGGAACCACAGCAAAACAGAAAAACCGAAACCAACCAGCTTACATTGTAGCACAAGCTAACAACAAGCCAACAGCGCTCTAAAGAAAAACGGGCCACGGCACAGGGCCAAACCAAAACTTAGAGCCGACGCTCTACAAACCAGGCCACGCCACAGGGCCAAACAAAACCACAAGAGCCGATGCTCTACTCCTAGGCACACAAGGCCAACCGAAACACGAGGGCCGAAGCTCTCAAAATAATAATACCATGTGCGCAGCAGCGCAAAATAAACCTAAAACACAAAACAACGGAGAACAACAGAACGACGAGAAGAGCAACAGAACGACAACAACCAAACTCAACCAATACAGCAACAACTGAACAAGCAACGAACTGAACGGAGAGAGAAACACAATCAGACAATACAGCGAGCAAGACAACAACAAGATGAACAACAAAGGACGATACACAGTCGGTGATGCCAGACTCGTCCACTGGCCTCTGGCCAGCCACGTCCACACGCTCCACCGCGATTCCTGCCGTCTCAGGCTCCAGTCCACAGTTTTAGTCCACCACCTCTGCCTCCTTTCACTCGTCTCGTCTTGTCTCCCACCAGCTCCTCATCTCCTCCGCTCCCACGCTTACTTCTTACTTCAAGGTTATTTTGTTGTTGACGACAACGAACAGACTCATGACAAACTAACTCATCCTCTGCGTCCAGGGTTTCGGCACCAGCTCCACGAGGACCACCGCGGCCCCGTCCGCGGCCTCTCTCTCTGGTATTACGATCTCCGAAAGATTGGGTCTCGCCACCGAAAGAAGATTCCTGGCCAAATGAGCTCTCCTCACCAAATCCATTATTGCCCTGATTGTTGCCACCCTCTCTCCGTGGTCTTCTCTCACCACCCTCACGGGGTTTGCGCTCTCTCCTTTCACCACCACACTCTCCTCGCTCGCCGCGTGGCTGTGATGGTTTGTCGGAGCCTCTGTTTTGACCTCTGGGTTATCGTTTGCAGAGGACTTCGGCTGGGATTTCTCAGGAGCCTTGCCCTTAGCAACGGGCTTCTTCACCTCCTTCTTCTGCTCAGTAGCTTTCTTCTCCACGCTCTGAATGATGTCTAAAGGATCATCAATCTCAACCGGCATCCTCCTCATCAGGTATGGCAAACCTGTTTTGGTCACACCAACACCATAGCTAGACTCCATGGTGGCGGATAGTGACGACTGCGAAGGCTGGAGAACGGATGCAGTCTCCTTCTCTCTCTCTACAACATGGACAACAACACATCATTTCATAACAATAGTGATATTATAACACCTAACTAAACAGTGCCAAAGAGTTTCACAAGGTATTCTTGAACAATACCAAGTGCGTGAACGGTAACAATCGAACACTCCAAGGGGACACAATTCAACAGGTATGAAACAACACTAGTGACAAAATTCTGGCCCATCACGGCCAGACGAACACAACATCATTCTACTGGTTGAACAATTTCAAAAAGATAACACTCTCCTTTTGAACACAAAGGTCAGGCTTATGAATGCATTGGAACACAGCCTCCAACACCTTCACCTGTAACTGATAACCATGACGTCCACGACACAAAACGGAGAAACAGGAATCAGAATACACTTGGCAACATTCAGGACGAGATACCAAATGATTATACACAGAAGACTTACGAGGTCGAAACACACGCCCACACTCACTCTCCCAAACCCACACTCTCTCCCTCACTCACTGACTCACTGCTAGAATCTCCTCCGTCAGTGCAGTTTTCGTCGTCGCCCTCATCGCTGGCGGTCACGTCCACTGTTGCTGTCACGCTGGGTCGGCCTTTGTCGTTGTTGTTTGCCGGTATCATCGTTCATACTGTAATTGGCTGTTGAACGTCTTGGTCTTTGAGAAGTTGTTGTTGTAGTCTGCTCCAATATTGACGACGGTAAGGTTTGATCAGAAGGTGGTGGATCCGGCAGGGGGCGTATGCCTGGCGTTTGTTGAGGAGGCAGAGCCTTCCTGGATTTGCCCCGATCTGTGATATTGATGGACTGTGGTATCGGCTTTGCTGTCAAATCACCATCGACTACCGTCACGGCTATTGCTAATGCTGATGCTGCAGACACCAAGGAGTCTGTTAAACCTGCGCCGGATAACCGGACTGGATCTGGTGGAGAAGGCTGGGGCAGCACAGGTAGTGGGTGCTTCCGTAGCCTGCCACGCCTAGGCCGGTCTTTGCGCGCTTCCTCTGATAGAATGTTTAGTGGTGTGTGTGTTTAATCTGTGCGCTCAGGTGCTGAACAGTTCTACCAACATACCAGCTAGCACAATGCCGGCATTCAAAGTTGTATACAATATGACTGAGTTGGTGGGTTGGTAGAGCGTCCTTCAGCACCGTGAACGCACGCATCGTTGTGTAGACGGGTGTGACCCCCCCCCCCCCCCCCCCATCACCACTTTACATTTCAATAAAACCGTCGTAACATGTCGCTTCAGCTGATTCTGTTAATGTTCATTGCCATCTTAAAATTATTTTACTGGTTCGTATAATGGATTTTGGCAATTATTTTAATTAGCTTGGTTTTCACATGTTGTGGTTTCCCGAATAAAGCTTTGAGTAGCAAGTAGACTACCAGTACTGGACTCGCTAGTCGAGTCACTCTACCATGGTCTACCACCGTCTACCTGGTCTACTGTACTCTACAGTGTAGTGTAATTAGTTACAGGCGACCTACCTTTATAACAATAACCTCTATACCGACTCGTATTACCCTTACCAGGTATAACGATATTTTTCTGCCAAACCAAATCACTCCATTGACTTGTGCATACAATGCATCACCTCTATAACGATATTACCCCTATAATGATATAAAATGGGCTGACCAATCGACATTTTCCATTTTATAACAATATCTAGCAGGGAATATGTAGAGCCCACTATCCAGGCAGGGCAAGCTTCACTTGGTAAGTCGCTGGGACATGACGAAATGCAATGGGGCACCAGTGGGCACCTTGCTATGTATATAATGTGCATATACAACAGTTTTGATGCTATGGAGAGCGTAAAATGAACAAAATCCAGGTACATGTACATGTATTATGACGTACGTGTATGAAATGAACCAGTTACCCCTATAACAATATTACCCTTATAACAATATTTCTTGGTCTGACGCAAATATCGTTATAAGGGTATACTGGTAGGTCAACTGTACTCTGTAATTGAACTTGAAGTGTGATGCAGTGCCTACAAAACAAAAGTACAATGACTATGACTGTAGTGTAGTACGGGAAGGCCTCTTTTACGGGCAAAGCGAAGCACAATCATCACCATGACATGATGATGATTGTATCAGTTCAGCTTCAGTGAATAGTTAAACCCAACACGAATGAAAAATGAGAAATAGAATAAAATGACTATAGACTATAGTGTAGGCGACTAGATGTACTGTCGCGGACATGGAAATCCAGTCGATTGACCGGGGCCGGCGCCCTCGGGGCGTACAGAACGTAAGTCGTTGCATGCATGCAGTATAAAGCAACTAAACTAAGTTACAGTCGTCCCTCTCTAATCCAGCACTTTATAAACCAGCACCCTCGATAAACCAGCACAATGTTCAGTAGCCAAAATATCCTCTTCATGCACATTGCAGCAGTAAATCCGATTTGTTAATCCAGCACCCTCCCTAATCCAGCACATTTTCCGTGGCACAAATGGTGTCGGATTATAGAGGGACCACTGTACTTTACTTGATCCGATGCGACCAGCGTGCAGCAGCTAGCAGCGCATAATAATAGTAATACGTGCTACGGCTGCATGGCCAGCGCCCTGGGGCCGCTAGACGTGCGACCGGATTTCCATGTCCACGACAGTAGTGTACAACAGTAACTGTTAGTGTTACTAAAATATTTAATGTAGATCTACGCTGTATGTAGGTCTACACCAGCCGCGCCTTGGGCATGCATGGTAGCCGCCCATTCATGCATGCACAGCATGAGGACACGTCATCCAGTCACATGGAGGCCGGGGAAGTTTTTGACTGGCTGGGGGACTTTCCTGCCAGCAGTACCGCGGCGCTAAAAGAGTGACCGTATCGCTTGGGAAGATCTGTTGACGAGCGAAGGAGAAAGGATTTCTAGGCAGGGATGGTTCTGGCCGGTGAGGAGAGAACATCGAATGAGAGGTGCAGGCACGTCGCTATACGTTTTTTTCATCGTGTCTACCCCTGCACTTGGTTGGATAGGACTTATTTTCCCCGGTGAGTCACCGCCTAGTAACTGCTAGGACTAGTATTTGTCCAGAGACGGAACCAACATCTTATTTCCACGAAAAAGAATCCTTCAGCCCAACCCCACGCTAATCCAGCGCTCGAAAAAGCATGGATGAACTGGATTCGCCTAATGGGGATAACGCAATCGTAGCGAGACTGATCAATGGCGTGGGACGTGGCAAAGACATGCAAACGGAGGTTCCACCTAACGCCACATCTCGGTCATCATCAGCATCACCAAAGTCGGCAGGTGCAGCGAAGCCGATCATAAACGGCGAGCGGCCTTACCTGACACTTGACGAGCAACCTAAAGCACGAGGCTTCCGATTTCGCTACAGTTGCGAAGGTCCGTCGCATGGTGGTATTCCTGGGGAGTCGTCGGAAAAGACAAAGCGTACGTATCCCACCGTTACGCTACATGGATATCGTGGAAAGAAGGCGCGAATCGTTGCCTCGCTCATCTGCCACGATGACCCACTCAGGCCACACGCTCACTCGTTGGTGGGTAAAAACGTGGTACTGGGCCAGACGATCGTGGAGGTGGCAGGCGGAGGGCCCACGTGGGAGTACTCCTTCAACAGCCTGGGCATCTTGCACGTGACAAAGAAGAATGTTGCAGCCGTTCTAATGGAGAGGTATGCGCTGGCAATGGTCACACCCGCTGCAGGGCCACCGGCCACCATCTCGCTGGAACCACAGCCCGGCGAGGAGCTTGAAGGCGGGCGGGCGGCATTGAGCGCGCTCGGCAAGCACTACAAGGACCAGCTGGAGAAGCTGGCGCAGGAGCAGGCAGCCAGCATGAACCTGAGCGCCATACGCCTGTGCTTTCAGGCGTTCATGCAGGACGAGAGCGGCAAGTACACGCGCGGCACGGACCCGGTCGTCAGCCAAGTGATCTACGACAGTAAGTCGCCAGCGGCGTCGGCGCTGAAGATCTGCCGCATGCATCGCAACACGGGAGCAGCGGCGGGCGGAGACGAGATCTACATTCTGTGCGACCGTGTTCAGCGCGACGACGTGGAGGTGAAGTTCATGTCAGACAGCAGTGAACATCCCTGGGAGGCCGATGGCATCTTTGGGCCGGCTGACGTACACCGTCAGTTTGCCATGGTTATCAAGACGCCACCGTTCTGGAATCAAAACATCGCCAATCCAGTGAACGTGATGATCAGATTGAAGCGCAAACACGGAGAGGAATCCAGCGAGGGCAAACTGTTCACATACACGCCGAATGTCGAAGACGTCGAGGAAATTGGCCGCAAGCGTAAGAAGCCGATTCCACGCTTCACACCCGATGCCAAGGTGCCCAAACTTGCACCGCCGGCAGCTGAAATGCCCCAGTCAGTGACAATGGCACCGATGCAGTCAGCATCAATGATGCCAGTGTGCGCCACCTCGCCTGAAGCTGTCGCCCCCACCAGGCTACACGTGTCATCACCGTCCACAGCTCCGCAAGCTAGTAACACACTGAGTAACTGGATGGCCAATCCCAGCGGTTGGGGCTTTACCGGCCTGGCTGGAACAGGCGTGAGTGGATTTCTACCTATGACTGGTGGATCACAAATTGTTCAACAATCCAGTACCACAAGTACAGCACCAGTTTTGCTGCAGCAGCCGACTATGGGCACTGCCACTATTCCAACCTTCGCAACACAGCCCGTCCCAACTCGGCCAGGTAATGCTTTTTTGCCGTCGCCACACTCTGGGAATCAACACCCGTCAGCGCTACAGGCCATTCACACACAGAGCAACATCACCCACTTAGGCGCTCTCCAGTCCCCTGGCCAGCGGAGCAACACATCATTGCTACCCTCGCCTCACCTGTGTAGTCCTGGTGGTGCAGCTGCACCGGCAATGCTAATGGTTAGCCCGCAGCAGCCAGTGCAGCAGCACCAACTGCCCACAGCTGCCAGCGGTGATAATGCGGTGTTTCCTTCGCCAGCCGGTGCCACGACACCAGCAGCAGTAGCAACACCAATGACAGCACAACTTGCCAACAGTGCTGGCACGCCCATGGACACAACCAGCCAGTCGAGCAACGGGTCTTCATCGTACACCATACTGTCGGCGCTAAAGCAGTACTTGGACAGCGGTGACATTCGCCACCTACAAGATGGCGACAGTCCAGTGTTACATGCGGCGGTCCTCGCTCAGAACATGGATGTCACCAGCACGCTCATGTCCACATTGCCAAGACTGCAAGCCGCCATGTTGAACTCAGTCGATCAGCACAGCAACACAATGCTACACCTGGCCATCGGCAGCAAACAGAACCAGCTAGTCACCGAGTTAGTACGCTGTGGTGCCAACGTGACACTACCGAACGGCCAGGGTGATAACTGTGTCCACGCAGCCTGTCAGATCGGCAGCCCGCAGCTGCTGCGGGTCATCATGGCCAAGAATCGAAAGGACGGCAGTGGTCAGCCACTGGTGCCTCGGCTGGACCAACGCGACTACAACGGACTATTCCCGGCACACCTGGCGGTGCGGGCGAAAAGTCGCGAGTGCCTGCAGGTGCTGAAAGCGGAAGGATTTGGGTTGGATGGCTCTGGAGGTCTGTGTGGCTCAACACCGCTGCACACAGCTACGGACAGCAATCAGCTGAGCCTGGTGGTGTACCTGCTAAAAGAAGAAGTGGCTGACATCAACGCCAAGAACTACCAGGGTAATAGTGCTCTGCACATATCGTCTGAGCAGGGCCACGTGGAAATGGTGCGCGCCCTTCTTCAGAGCGGTGCAAACAGGGCCATCAAGAATGCTCGTGGGAAGCTACCTATTGACTTGGCGTCGTCCGAGAGCGTTAAAGCTGCCCTGCAAACAAAGTAAGCAGGCTGAAGAACACCACCCAGCAGCGACTCGCCTGTATCATTGATTCAGGTCAATTTTGGTTCATGCCGCAGAACTCCCCTTTGAATTTAGTGGAGCCTCGCTATCCTTGCATATGAACATACGCTCCTCTTCCATAGTACTCAGCTTGCCAATAGTCCAACACCAATACGCTTCATCCTTGACTTGAGCAGACTTGATCTTGCAAGTGACCAGTAAACACACTGTGACCGGTAGACTACATGTACAGATAACGGACATGACTGATTATACTGCCTTCGACAAACCTGATTTCCGCTGTGTGTCTGCTGTACCCAGACACTTGCACAATGACCTTGATACTCGTATCATAATTATAAGACAGTGACGCTGTCTAGCAACAACCATCGTCTCGACCATAAATCTAAGCTTCTGGTACCGTTCTCATCCTTTGTCAAAGTCAATAACAGTTTCCCAAGCCTCACTTTATTGCCAGCCACAATGAACTGCCTTTGATTTAAAAAAAAACGCAGATAATTATACCGACTGCGGCTGGTGTTCACCTAAACGCATTCAACTCAGAATACAGTACGTGCACATGCACCCATCTGCGTTGTTGCTGCTGATCACTGACTGCATGCTGTGTAGAGTTGACCCCCTATTATACGTTAGTATCTGCTCTACAGGTGCATGTACTGTACATGTACTTGATGGACAGCAGCATGGTGGAGGCACAACACAATTTTCAACTGAATTTCGCTTTTCTCTGCCCTGTAGAACAATACCTAGTTAGTTTAGCCGAGTAGTACACAGATAACGCCCCGGCACTTTGCCTTGATTGGTCCGATCATTTTCATTTCAATTCTGCCAGCCCAGCGTCACGCGTAAAGATCAAGAGCGGTCGATCGAGCTGTGATAAATGACCACTCTCACCGTGGTGGTGGCGGTGCTGGTGCTGGCAGTGGTGGAAGTGGGGTGGTGGCGGTGATAGTAGGGGTGTGGTGGCGGCGGTGGTGATGGCAGTGGTGGTGGTGGTAGCAGTGGAGGCTCTACATGAGGAGTACCATGCACTGGCGCAACATTATCTGTATAACATATTAACGAGAGAGCTTGGAAGCTCAGGGCCCTGCGCTATGCTGTGTTGCCTAGCTCATCGTGCATGTTGTTAGAACTGATGGAAATGCTTTTTACATCTACATGACTGTAACGTTATATTTATTATGCTATTGGCCTACATGCGATTCCCGGGCGGTTCGACAGGAGGCCCAGCCAGCCTGCTAGTGGGATCTCGGCCTCGCACACAAATCCACACAAAATCTTACTGCACTGAATGCATTCCCCCGATACACTTCGCATTATATACTCATTCTCTTGATGGTACCGTACTCTTGATGGTACGGGACAGGCACGGGATAGCGCCAGGCATATCGATGGCACAAACAAACAAAAATATTGTGGCTTTGCTGGTACGGTACAGTACGGGACAGATACGGGATAGTGCCAGCCGTGACACAAACAAACAAACACACAAACAAACACCAAATTAAAGCTGTGTGGACCCTGGCTAGCGCCAGACGTTACTGAAGTAACGTCTTCTGCATAGCTACGGGAATAAGTTTATGATGTGGGGTTGCCATGAATTCATATTAATAAGTTTATGATGTGGGGTTGCCATGAATTCAGACTGTGGTTTGATATAATGCAGAAATTTACTTGCGTTTACTGGCATTCTACAAAAGGTGGCATCAAAAGTACTTATAGTATTATACTCTTGATGTCGTGCATAGAGCACTCTGACCAGTATAGTCAAAGTTCATGTGCGTACTATGCAGTCACCATGGTTACCAGATTGATCACTACCTTATTTTGTCTCTTGTCATCCATGAATCTCTCACATGTTGTCCACTTCAAAACATCAATAAGTGAATTCCACTCAAATAAATATGCCGACAAAAAAGCGATACACAATTGAACAAACAGACTTAGGGCATGTTCGATTGGTAGGATCGGGATCCCGATCCACTGGATTCGCACCCTTTC